TATTGCATTGCCGATCTGTAGCCTGCCTCTTTCAATCCCCCCATGATGGTATACATGCCATCGGGGGTAAGGTGGAAGGGCTCGAGATTGGCTTTCTCCGACCAGGCCTTCCATTGCTTAAGCCTAGACTCCACGGGCCCCAAAGCAGTTGTGGCCCTCGAGTCTGCAAGCAAGGCGGCTCGGCAACGAGCAGGGTCACTTAAAGCATTCAAGGCCTGGGCCGCCGACCCACGGCGATATTCCCGCGGCTCGCCATGCCTATCTCTGGCCGCAACATCTGGCTGCGCACCGCCCACGCCAAGTTCTCGGGCTGCCGGACCCGCGACAGGACGCCCGAGGGCAGGTCCTTCGCGAAGGACCTCGGCCTTACCCTGAACCGCGCGAGGCTCGGTGGGGTTACTTAGTGGCCAGAAGGCAGCCCTATACGACCTCTTAGGCTTGGGCATCTGCAGCACTCACGTACAACCAGAGCTGCGCACAAACCGAAGAGAGAGAGAGAGAGAGAGAGACAGAAAGAGAGCGGGAGAACCGAGGAGGAAGGGAGAGAGAGAGAGACGCAGGGGTGCGACGCGAAAGCAACACTCAACCCTCGCAACCCTCACTCGGCCACCTTCTTTTCTCACACTTTCCAAAAGTCGTTGCCGAAGTTGACCTCATCTCGAGGTACTTCAAGGAGCTCCTTCGGGAAGCTTTTCGCTTCGGGAGCGAATTGACGCGACAGCGCGTCCGCTTGCACGTTTGTAACGCCAGGGATGTGCACCAGCCCCTTGACCTGGTAGGCTCGGGTGGCCTCGTCGTAGGCAAACTCCCTGGCGAGGACGTTGAGCTCGGGAGACTTCGCCCTTCCCTTGGCCAAGGCGTAGAGGACGCCCAGGTTGTCCGACTTGGCCCGGAAGGTGGCACCATGTGCAAGCAAGGGCAACCACAGCCGGAAGGCCGCGAGGAGCGCCAGCCCTTCCCACAGCGTGTTGTACTTGGGTATCCCTCGCTCGGCCTTGAAGCGGCTGAGGACGCTGTCCGGGATGTGGGTGAAGAAGTAGGCTGTAGGTCGGCCGGCCTCCCGGCACACAGCGCCCATGCCCCATGGTGACGCGTCCGTCACGATCTCCAGCGAGCTCGTCGGTGGGCATGCGTAGAAGACCCGCTCAATGGTTTTGCCACTGCTGAGCAAGGCCCTTACCCATCGCAACGCCGGGCCGATCCGACGAACATGAATCAACTTTCGGGCCTGCTTCAAAGGTCGACCCTCATTCGTTGACCCATGTCTCGTCAGGGCAGCCCAGAACGAAGCAAGAAAGGGCCGCAAGTGTGGCACCAGCCCGGCCACAAACGACAACGAGCCGGTGTAGGACCGAAGCTCGCGGCACCCAACCACCGGCTTGCCCAGGAACTTGTTGGTGTCGCGGAGGAGCGCCTCGATCTTTGACTCGGGCAAGGTGACCACAACGGCCCGCTCGNNCGTCTTTGCCGCCGCTGGCCTTTGCCAGCTTGACTGGATAACCAGCCACCGCGGTCCACAGGAGGACCACCGTGAGGTCGCCGGCGGCTGTCTCCAGCTCGGGGCCGTCCAGAACGTACATGGGGTCGTCGACGTAGATTTGCACATCTGAGGTGCTCGTGGCTGTGGTGGTGCGGCCCAACCAAGCTGCCGCCCGACCCCAAACTGTCGGCGAGGAAGCTGACCCGAAGACGAGGGTGTTGAAGAGGACGATCTGTGGAAGCTTGCCCCTGTTCCGCTTCCTCGGGATGGCCGCGGCCGTAAAGCGCCGATCCCGGCCGGCCGGGATGTTCATAAAGGCATCGCGTATGTCCACGCACGCCATGAAAGGAGCCCTCCCCCTGCGATAGGCCGCGAGGAGGGAAGCCACGACATCCAGCAGCCGAGGCAGCAGGATCCTCTCCCCTTGGTGGCACGCCCTGTTCACCGAGGACTCGCGGAGGTCCCAGATAACCCTGGCCTTCTTGACCTTTCGGCCGCGGGCGTCCACCTTCTCCTTGACAAGGACGCCCAGTTTGTTGAGGACCGGCTTCCCCCCAAGGATGCGGGTGGCCTCCTCCTCGGAGCGGACCACCTGGCAAAAGCCTCTGGCCTCATAGTCTTCGATGAGCTCCGCAAGGATGTCGGCCTCCTCTTCTGCGCTCTTATAGTTGACCCAGCCCTCTAGGGCCCGGCGGTCGAGCTCCTCAGGCTCTGTCACCCCGATGGGCTCGACCTTCGGAAAGACTCCAGTGCAAGGGATGCTCTCGGCAATTCCCAGCGGAGCTCCGTGGTCTAACCAGCCGGCAAGGGTGGCCGAGTCCGGGTCATCAGTCGCCTCGCCCCAGGCCTCAATGACCTCGGCCCGAAGTGGCGTCTTGGCGGGGGCGGTTCTGACTCGGGCCTTTGCTTTGTCGGCGCCCAGAGTGGTCAGGACGGCGGAGCGGATGCTCGCGATGACCTTCGGGTCGAACTCGCCCGGCTCCTCGCCTTTCAGAATAGCTGTGGCTGGCTCGCAAAGGGCTGGCCACTTGCGCAGGCAATCTCGAAGGAGTTTGTGAATTGCCCGGCCCGCTTTCCTTGACGACGGGAGCCGACCAAGTGAGCGGCGAGGGTTGCGCATTCCTCCCAGGGCCCGTGCGTTCTCCTCCTCCCTCACAGTGCGCGGAGTCTTGGCCCGAAGTGCCTCGAACTCCGCGGTTGGGTCAGGGCTTCAAAGGGGCTCGGCTTCCAGAGCCCGTTGCCGGTAGCCCTGGAAAAGGGAGTGCGCGATGACCTGGGAGAAGTGGGGCGTGTATTCGCCTTGGCTCTTGGAGGCCCATTGGCTGCCCTCCGGCCCCTGCTCCCTTTGCCCGGCGGCGCTGCCATGAGCTCCTCGGCCGTGGTTGCAACGGAGGCCATTGAGCTCGCCAAAGCCGGTGGCGTGAGCGCTGTACATGACCTTGGTCGGCTTCACGGTTCCGAGCCCCAACCGGCACTGATCGAACTTGGCCGTGGCTATGCGATCCAGCTGGGCAAGCTGGCGCATGAGAGGCATTTGCCAAAGCTCGGGCCTGTTCTCGCCGTGGGTCGGATTCTCGATGGCCCAGGTAAGGTGGCGATCCCAGGCCGACGAAAGCACGTCGAAGGAGCGCTCGACGAGGACGTTGGCCGTCTTGACCTCCTCCTTCTCTCTTGGGCTCAACCCGGTCCTCCCCTCGATCTCGTCGGTGGTCCGGAGTGGGCGTGGTCCCGGTCGAACTTCTCGAAGGGGGCTGAAGGTGCCGCAGGGCGTCCCGGCCCACAAGACCGCAAAGTTGCCGTCGACGACGTCCTTCTCCACCGGGTTCCACTGGGCCTCGTCCAACACATCGCAAGGGGTGTCTGCAACCTTATCAATGCAGCACACGCAGAAGCCGTAGTGGACCAGCCAGCTCGCGAGGTCTCCCGGCCTCCTTCTCCCGCTGAACATAACCAGAGCCCAGGGCCGCACCTTGAGTGTGGTGGACGGCTTCTCGAACCAAGACCCGTAGGGACGCGGGCCCCGGCTCAGCGGCTCGTAGCTAGGCCACGTGGAAGCTGCCGGCGGCACTCCGGCCAAACTCTTGGTTGTGGCACCCTTTCCCCCCGGCGCCCGGGCCGCCTTCTTCTTAGGCGGATTTGCTGGCTCCGGCACCGCTGTCGGCGGGTTGGCTGGCTCGGGGGCTCCTGGCCGCTTCCGCTTCAGCGCTGGCCTTGGTCGCGGTGGAGTCGGTGGCTTGTGCGCTGGCTGTGCGAGGCCGTCGTCCTGGTCTGCGGTGCCACCCTCGGCCGGTGGAGCGCCCGCTGCCTTGGACTGGGCCGTGTTGTCAACCAAGGCTTGGTTTGCGTCGGGCGGTGATGCCTTAACCTTGGGTGTGGGTTTGGCATAGCGGCCGCCGTGCGAAGTCCCAGGTGGACTCGGGCCTTCCGATCCTCCCCCGGCCGGAGCCGACGAGGAGGCGGGATCAGCTGGCACAGTTGGGGGTCAGGCCTTGCTGCACTCCGTGGCGGGGTGCGGGCCTAGGCAGCGGTTGCATTGGTGACTGTGCTTCTGTGGGCATTTCCCCTGCGGTTTCCGCGTGCCACATTTCCCCCTGTTGTAACCATCGCAGATCCGAGTGCCACGCCTGTTGATGGTATACACACCATCTTTGGAGACACTATGGTCTTCGCCCTCGTAGCGGCGCTGGGCCTTCTGCTTCTTCTTCGGCGTGGCACCTTCGTCGCCTGCTCCCCCGGCCGGCCGACGAGGAGCTGCGACAGGCAGCCCGCCGCCGCCCTCAGGACCCCCGCTGCTGCTTGCACGGTGCTGGGACAGCCAAAGGGTGGCTGGAGTTACCAGCTCTCGGGTCCAGTAGTCACTGTCCTTGATGGCGGCGGCGAAGGCTGCATTCCACGGGCGGGCCTGAGTGTACCCATACTCGGGCTTGTCGGCCAGCGTTCTCCTGAGGCGTTCGAGGTGCTCGCAGCGGAGGCGGTTCTCGGCCCTATATATGAGCCACCAGCAGTTGTCGGAGAACTGGGTGACAAAGGACCGCACGTGCTCGGAGTAGGCATCCAGTCTCTCCGCGTCGGCCACCTCGAGCAGCAAGAGGGCGGTCCGAAAGACCTTCCAGGCCTCCACCCATGCGTGGTACGAACCGGGACCGGGCTGCTCCTTCTTTGACCACTCACCTGTCGCCACGTTAAGGGTATACGAGGTGAAGGTCTGCTTCCTCAGCAAGCGCAACCCATGCGGACCAAACAGCGAGAAGTCGGCATAGGGCGCCGACCCCGCCGTGATCACCTGCTTCAGGGAAGCGAGCTGATCCGAGGATGGATCTGCATCTGGGCTGGGGAAGTCGCCGTACTTGGCCCGGTAGTCCGTGTACAGCTTCTGCAGCTCCGCGGTGCCCATAGGGGTGACGTCGGCATCCAGGGTCGGGTCCAGCACCGACGAAAGCTTGAGCCTCCTTGCGCCCGGGACCGGCGTGCCCGAGCTCGGTCCTGGCCCTGCCGCGGGGGAAGCTGTAGGTGGCCCCGCTCCACCAGGCGCATCAGGCGCGACCCCCATCCGTAAAAGGGCCACTCGCCTTGTAGACTCCAGCCGGGCCTTCTCGACCAGAGTGGGGTCGCGAAGAGGACCCGGGGATCCATCCGGTGCGTCCGGGCCTCGCACCTTCAAGCCCTGCACCATCTCATCCCAAGCTGTTCGCGGGACGAGGGCTAGCTCTCGTACGCGAGCCGGGTCGCCCAGCGCTGCCTGCAAGGCTTTCTCTAGGGCTCCGCTGACCCCGGCCCATGTGTAGACGCCGGCGAGGTCCGTGATCGCCTGGAGCTCCGTCTCGGTCGGGTCCATCTTGAAGAGCAGGGCCTTCGTGAAGGATGGGCCCTGGTGTGGCGGCTCGCCGGGCGGCTCGCCTCCTCACGTTGGGCCGGCTCTCCGGTGCGTTACGCAAGCTGTAGGTGCCGAGGTGGGCGAAGGCAAGGCTGAGCCGTCGACGGCTCCGGACGAAGTTCAGTGCCCTCTGTGAAATTACCTCCCACCGGCCCAACGGAGTGCTGTGACGCGTCGGCGGGGCCCGGCCTACCACGGGTGCCGCCCTCGGTCGAGAGCAGCAGCAACCGCAGCAGAAGCCGAAAGCCCAGACGCACAGGCACAGACTAAGGAGCAGCCACTCGAACCTGAAGCCCCCCGAGAGTGTCACCAGAGGACCGCCGAAGGCGATGTCCAACCGATGTCCTCCCGGAACGACCGCCAGGTCCATGCAGCTCTCCCACCTGTTCCTGGATGACCCCTCGAAAATCGGGTATCACCCTTGAGCCAAAATGGCTACGGATGCGTGCTTTGGACTTTCCAAGCTCGAAGGGGTTGCCTCCAGGGCCTCCAGGCCCCGCAGGACCTGTGCTGATCACAGACATGACAA